ATGTGTGTGTGAGTGTGTGTGTGTCTGTTGTAACCTTACACGATTTTACTCGCTATTTTTATGTGCTCTGTTTGCTCTTCCATCCATGGAGACCACTTTGTTCCACGCATAACCCTATAGACAACACACGCGACGTCCGCGCCATGCTCGAGAACCATTCGCCATTTTATTATTTTAACCTTTATTTCCATCGTTATCTTCGTTTATTTTCCTTTCTTCTTCGTTTTATTTCCTGCAAACGAGGGAGAGAGGTTTCTTGGAGCGACTTTTCCCGGCCGACGGCGAACAGACGTCACGATGAAAAATATTCTTCGCCGCCGCGCGGTGTACGATCTCGCCGCCCTAATTCGTCCCGATTGTTCGTGACGAGCGTGAACACGCGCGGCGGAAGAAGCACGCTCGACCGTCGCTCTCCTGAGGAAACTTCTTTCCCGATCCTCACACCGGCGGTTCGTTCCCGTATCTTCTCTCCTCTTCACGCTCTCTATACATCCCTTTCCCTTTGCTTCCATCGAATCGTTTCTTTTTTCTCTCCTTTTTATTTCGTTCGTTATCTTTCCCCTCCTCGGTTTCTCATAGCTCGAAGAACGTTCGCCCCGAGAGTATCGAGCCGAATGCAAGGAAGGCGAACATTGCTCTAAGCAGACAGCGATTTTGGGTGTGCGTATTGAGGACCGCAAGATCGCGACGCAGTGGCTGCCGATTGCGAGATCGTGCGTGTCTTTGAGAAACGGCTTCGAAGAAACTCTCTTTGGGACGTTTCTTTTCTTTAAAAACGAGTGATAAAACGATTTTAAAAAAATTTCGTATATTATACGATCGATAAAAAATCATGGCCATGCTTTTCGTTCTCGTTCGTGTGTGAACGATGGGGGCAGGAGTAAAAAGAAAAGAATAGCTTTTCAAGTAGGAGCGACTATTGGTGTGTGTGTGTGTGTGTGTATGTGTGTGGTGTCCGGCCAGACAGACAATCTGGAAGACGCGTTCTTGTAAGTTACGGAAGTTCCAACAAATATAGAACTTCTTGTTTCCTTTTATCTTTCGAGGAGAATGAACAACAATGCGTGGTATCAGCAAGAAAAAAACCCTCCTTTTCGATATCTCCGGGGGAAGTTAAAACGGAATAAAAGCGGTACCGATGTGACCAACGA